AAACACCACAAGAAAAACACTTAAACACAAAGTAGTATTTCTGACACAAAACTCACAATAATAAAATAGTGAACACAAAGTTAAAACTAAACCCCTATGCGGCTTGCCAACTTGCTTCCCTTTCTTTGACAGCCATAACGCTTTGATTATTTACTACAGGCGAGCCATATTGATCCAGCTCGTCTCCTTCCCATTTTCTAGGCGAGCCTAGCCTCATACGCTTTTGATGTATTTTATGGCCATCACACACACTAGTTAACAAATCATAATGAAAAAACTGCAAAATGGATTAAACTTTTGGCTCGAATGAGTTTAACACATGTATGAAATTGACTCAAAGCTAAACAACATTAAAATTTTATCTTTACTTTGTGTAATGAGAATGAAGATGGGATTTCCTGCCATGCTGTCACAATACATATATTGCACCAGTGCAATATAAAGTATTGTATTGTGCAATTAATAGAGAACATAAATTTCAAAAGAAACTCTTGAAGACAAGAGAACATTTCTAAAACATGCACAAATAGTGATGATGAAGAACATATGTTCAAATAAACCTTCAAAGACTCTTCAAAAATTTCAATGACACTGAATGGGGTGTAGTAAATTATGTTATGTATTCGTATGATTTAATAAAAGGCATCATGACTTTGAAGATCAACTGTGACATTGGAAATAATTTTCTTTAACATTGTCATGTTCTCTATAAAAAATCTCAATATAGAAGCAAGTCTAGAGAGAATGTATATATTTTTGACACTACTGTAAATACTTACTGCAATTTTAAAGTTAATACCATGGAAGAAGTAGTTTTATAATTTATATATGTATTATTTTGATAATCCTTTTGATTTAGTCTAATTTATTTCAAAGAAGTTTTCTAGAATGACAATGACATGGATAATAAAGTAAAAACAAACATTAATAAATCAATCCAACTCAACATTTAAAACTTAAACACAAATTGAGATTTTATCATTTACATGATGAATAGTACTACATATATACATGAATAGTACATGTGTGTATGAGCATGTGTAAATATATACATTCACAACTTGTGTGTTTTATAGATGTCCATTCTTATATAAACATACAAATAAAAAATTGAGATCTTCATCAGAAATGTAAATGTTGTAAAAAATCATTAATACTCTAGAAAAATCAAATATATACAATACTGTACAGCTGTTTTCTTTGTGACCAACCCACGAGAGAGAGAATTATTAGAAACTACATGACAAAAACGCATTATAAATACATATTGCAATAATGCATTATAGAATGAAGGTATTACACCACCAGTCCCTTACTAAAACGCCAAGAATCCGCGCTCATAGTTTTCTAAAGGGAAACCTTTAATAAATACTTGGATATACATAGAATCAATGGGGGGCCTATTTCAAGAAGGAAATCAATAACATATATGAAAGTTCTTCTAGAAGGATGAATTTTTTTAATAGTGGATTTTTCTCAACTACCTAAGACTTGGGAGGAAGTTTCCAAAAAATGTAGAGTTCCCACCGAACATTGCTAGGGCTTAGTAATATTGTTGATACTTCTTTGCTACATTTAACAATACAATACATACAATGATAAAGGTTGAAAAATGATTAACACACTCATAAAATGAGTAGGAGGAAATGTGAATATGGATTTGTTTGTAAATTGTCATTGGTTATACAAATGTCGTTTATGGTTTTGTTGAATCCACAAAATAGGATAAGCTCGTGACTCGAATGAGTTTAGCACATATATGTAAGTGAAGCAAAGTTAGAGGGGATCATATTTTTTTTTACTGTGTGTAATGAGAATGGAAATAATTATGGTTTCCTACCATAGAAATATATTGCAAAAGTGTAGTGTAAATTATGGTTTAATACAATCAAGATAAAGCATATATTTTGAACAAATCCTTTAAGAGAAGAAAATATTCTCAAAACATACGAAAAATAGTGAGGGTGATGAAAATACGTTCAAATAGACCTTCAAGAGCGCTTTAAAATTTTCAATTATACAAATGAAGTATAGTAAACTATGAGTTCTAATATGAGAGTAATTAAATAATTTAAATTAGATTTGACCAAACAAACATATATATGTTAATTACCTTTACATGTATTAATACTATATAAAAAAATTGTCAACTCAAAGGTGTTGTCCATCTAAGGGGCAATCCATTATATTTTTTGCATACACGCAACAAAAATGAAGCATGACTTTGAAGATCATGAGTTAAATTAGATAAAACTTTGTATTAATCGGTGTCATATTTTTTTATAAAAAAAGTTTAATCTATATGATGCCGTTAGCTACCCCTGTCTATGGTGACTTGTAATGCTAGTAGGCCCAGCCTCACGCACTCCTACTTGTATTGTTTTATTATCAATAAAACCGATCATTAAAAAACACCAAAAAACACTCCAAAACATTTACAATTCAATATTTGAATCTTATACACAAATTAGAATGTTATTATTTACATAGAACAATATTTGCGTGTGTGGTCATATATACATGCATAGCTAGGTTGTGTATTTGTTATAGATGCCCACACTTTTATAAAGATATAAATCAAAAAGCAATTTTGGTTTTCATCCGAGTTGTAGGGAAATTAAATATTTTCATTTTGACGCAAGAAAAGTCAAATACGTACGTACAAAATCATATATCCATTGATTGTCTGACTACCATATGAATACGAGTAGGAGGAAATACAGTGTGAATTTACTTTCAAATTGTCTCTCACTCTTTTAACATCTATATATCTATTGCTTTTGTTTTTTACTTTTTGTTGAGATTCCAATTAACAAATCATGATGAAAAAAATCCACAAAATGGTTTAAACTTTTGGCTCAAATGAGTAAAACACATATATGTAATTGAAACAAAGTTTGGGAGTGTCTATATATTTTTTATTTTGTATATTGAGAACAAAGACAAAGTTTTCCGCCATAAATGACATATTACAATAGTGAAATATAAATACATATTGCAATAATGCAATATAAATACATGTTACAAAAATGCAATATAAATACTTATTGCAATAGTGCAATATAACACATATTGCAATAGTGTAGTATAGAATGAAGACATCAAAGTCAGTGAAGGTTGAATCCCATAAGGCAGTGAAGAACATATATTAAGGGTGTTCGAAAAGGATGAATTTTTTCATTGTCAACACCTCTCAACTACCTAAAAGGTGAGAACAAGTTTCTATAAATGTAGAGTTCCAACTGGACATTGCTTGAGCTTACTAATACTATCTATACATCTTTTCTACCTTTAAAAACACATATACATACATTGATACATGTCAAAAAATCATTAACAAATTCTGAAAATAGTAGGAAGAAATACAAATATGAATTTATTTGAGTTTTGTCATTGTCAACACCTCTCAACTACTTAAGAGGTGAGAAGAAGTTTCAATAAATGCATAGTTCCGACTGGACATTGTATGGGCTTAAAAATATTATCTATATCGTTGCTAGCTTTAAGAACACATATACATACAATGATACATGTAAACTGATGGATAGTGTACCCGGGGGTAGCTTATCCGAAGGGTTATTACGGAGAATAACTTAGAGAGATGTCAGAGCAAGTAAGAGAGAGAAGGAGTGTATATCTGATATATCTCAGTTATGTTATTACAATGGAAAATGGTTGCTATTTATAGCAGCCATAAATGCTGAGGGCAATAATCGAAAGGACACGTGTCAAGCAGCCAATGGACGGGGGTCAAACCAACCAGGGTGGCGCCGACATGCGTATGTGGGCGCATTCAATGCGGTGGTTTGGGTGTGATGCTGCATTTAATGCGGTGATTCAGCGCACGTGGAGAGGAGAACCTGTCGAGGAAAGCGCCTTCGGCTGTGCGTACTAGGGCCTTCGTGTGCTGAAGGCTATACATAGCCAGGGGCATCATGTCCCGAAGGCTGTAAGTGCCGAAGGCTCACATTTCAAGCCTTGTTCCCCAGTGATGTTTCTGGACCAGGTTCGACCGTTTGTTGAGCACAAAGCCTTCGGGCTTGGGGGCGAAGGCATACCTTACGCAGTATGGACTATTCAGAGCCTTGCTTGCCGTGTTTGGGCCAATTTGGGCCTATTGGGCCTGACCATAGTATTAGAAGTATGTGGGTCGGGGGTTCATGGCCAATATACTTCATCATAAACCAATTCTGAAAATGAGTAGGAGGAAATACCAATATGAATTTATTTTTAAAATGTCACACACTCTTTTAACATCTATACAATTGTTGTTTATGTTTTGCTGATATTTCAATAACAAATCATGATGAAAATTTTCACGGAATGGATTAAACTATTGGCTCAAATGAGTTCAACACATATATGTAATTGAAACAAAGTTAGAGAGCATCAACATATTTTTATTGTATATAATGAGAACGAAGGTAGGGTTTCCCGCCATAAAAGACATAATGCAATAGTGCAATATAATTATATAAATATATACTGTAATAATGCAACATAAATACATATTGTAATAATGCAATATAAATACATATTGCAATACTTCAATACAAATACACATTGCAATAGTGTAGTATAGAATTTATCTCTAATGATACATATGGCGACCAACATCACCCTTTAAAGTCGTTTTTATCTAGCTGGAAAGTTCTATTAATTTTCTAAAACTCATCTATAGCCTTCATTTACAAAATCTTATTGAATGAGTACTTTTGTCACCAAAAAACAAACAAGGCTCTAAATTTACTCTATATAGGCTAAGAATACGATTTGTTATTTATCTTGTTATATTTAATCCAGTTTGAACGGCTTGCACATCTTTTTGGAAGGACTCTTTAAAGTTCCAAAATCACCATGTCCCGTAATTCTTCTCTCACAATGCCGATATTTAAACGGTTTCAACTATGGAGTAAGATGTACCCATCGTAAAATTGCCTCATATGGAGATCACTAATCTATGTAGTAATCTTGGATTTATGCTTGCACTAAACATGTGTTGTAACTATCATTTGATAAAAAATTTAAACATAATAATGGAGGGAAGAGTGGAAGACTAATATAATGACTACAAAACAATAGAATAAGAAAGTACTATATGTATATTAAAAAAAAGTACTTTGGGGTGTTTGGAATTGATTCTGCTTCTGCTTCTGCTTCTTTTTTAAAGCAGAATCAGAATCAGAATCAGTTTTCAGAAGCTGGTACCCCCAGCTTCTAAAAAAACTGATTCTAGGAGTAAATTAGAGCACCAGAATCACTTCTGCATTTTCACCCAAACACTACAACTTCTGTTTCTGCTCCCTGAAAAAGCAAAAGCAATTTTAAGAATCAGATCCAAACACTCCTTTATGTGCACCAAAAAACAATAGATTATATTTGTAGGTAAAAATGTCTCATTTTCACCGTTAACTCTTTCATTATGACTTTAGGGGTAAGACATGTGGGAGGCTCCCCGTTTAAACGGAAACATTGTGAAAGGAGAGGAGTACCATCTCCATCTCATTACCTGGCCGGCATGCCCTTGGATTTCGTGCCCCCTTTTTCTTTTTCCCTCCGCTTTCTTTTTCTTTTTTGTCACCTTTTGACTTTAATGCTCCGCATATTTTGAGCTTTTCCCACACATAAAGCAGAAATATATTAATATATTATCAACTCAGACTAGAAGAAATTATGGTTTGTTTGGTGGGTTTTGATTCCTTTGATTTCCCAATCGGATGAGAAAAAGCATAGCCCTTACTTCCCACTTGAGATATTAATCATTTCACCTTTATTAACCATTCCTTCTTTAGGTTAATTGGAGTTCATGCTGGCTAGAGATCTATGTCTTTTCTAGCTAATCATTTGCTTTGACGTAATAATATTTCTACTAAGCAATTGCACCCAAGCGTGCTGGGTATTTTCTTCTTAATTTTTTAATAATTCTCTAAAAAAAATTAAATACTAGTATTATAGTAATTTAGTATCGTAGTAAGGTGTTTACTTTTAAAAAAAATTAAAATGTATTATTCGAAAACAATAAATACTTTTAGAGTAAGGTCAGCAAACTTCATTTTGCAGTCAGGTTGATGAAGCTTCATTACACAAGGCCCTGATGAAACCATGAGAAGTTGGTCGGGTCGGGTTCACGAATTGCCGGTTCGAGCAATTCTTAAGAAAATACTACGTAGAACCGTAATAAGTCTGGTTTGGTGCTATGGTTGCAAATACTGATTTAGATCAAGCACGGGAAACCAGGTCCCGTTCCAGCCTCTACTTCACACACTCTCTGCTCCCACGTTTCCGACGTACACAAGGATAAGTATGTGTACTATGGGAAATGCAGTAAACAACTATGAATCATCCAATATAGTAATATACCCATCCATTCAATATGAAACCAGAAGACATGCTAGAGGTGCTACAAATGACATGCCTAAATAAGCAGTATATAATGAATGTCTGAAGAATGAAAAGTTCAGAGAACTTCTGTACAGGTACCCCATCTTAGTTGCAGCTTTGGCACTTGGCTGTGATACCAAGGGATGAGATGGTATATTCCAAAACTGTATTTCACCTGATATTCCAACTGCCACATTGCAGCAAAATGTGTTTAACAGTTGGACTTCACAATTTGCTAGCTATGACCAGTTAAATTTAGGATGCGATCATCCAATGATAACCTAACCGCTGGAACAAGGATATGGAATACAAAATCTCATCCCAAGCACACCCAGCAGTCCAATTTAGAGTGGATGGTGATTCTAATTTAGATAATGAAAAGGTTAGGGCAAGCGCATGCATGATCTGAACCGACTTCATAAATCATAATCATACCCAGCTTCAGTTTCATTGCTCTGAGTTCTTCATATCTTTCTACAAGTGAGTTCTTGAATTTAAGATGGCCATCAACTCATCTACTGGAAATTATAGGAAGCAGAAAACACCAAAAAAACAGATAAGGTTTGCTTCGAAGCTGAATTACTTACAAGACACAGAACTATTTATAAAGAGATCACTAAGATATTAATTGACACCAGATAAGGTAACCAAATTAACAGCTCCTCTACTTGTAATTTTCAGCTTTACAAGCCATTAAGAACTTGAACATATCCATATCACAAAACCAGTGAGTCATTACAGATAAACAACAAGAGCAGTGAAGAGAATGGAAATCTATAGTTAAGAAATAAAGAATAATGAACTGAAGATGGGTCATGGTTATAGTTAGTAACAATGCTGCAGCTAGAACCCCAAGATACTGAGAATTAGGGGTAGGCCAGGAAAATAATTCATTCATATGAGTTTATATATAGTAAAAAAATCACATACAAAAAGTTTTTACCAAACTCGAGTGGCCATTGGCCCTTGCCTATGAACACCCACGATCGGGAGACAGTGATGCATCTGGAAACATATTTATGGCAATAGAAACCATAATAGAAGCCTAAGAAGATACCAAAATCAGAACATGGACAGCCAAATAGTAAATTTTGCATTTATTGGAAATACCAAAGATTCATGCAGATTAGGCATGAAAGCATCACAAATACATTGACATAATAGATTACACAGTCAATGCAGCAAAAATTAATGAAACATGAACACCCAACATTAATCAAGTAAAGACCAACTGTAAGACCTTGGATCTCATGAGTAGAGTCGAAGCATGCTCCTCCCAAACGAATGTGTCCCGGTTAGCCTGTTGCTGCTTTTTCCTCGCCGACTACCACTCATGGGGGTCAAGTAAAAACGCAAGAGACCATTGTCAAAATGCTTAGGGGAAAACCTAGCACTCCTATTCCTCTCCAACCCATAATCCTCCTTCCTCTTGCTCACATTCCCATTCATCTCAACACTAGATTTCCTTCCATGCCCAAATGACCCCCCCATATAACTTGAAGAATTCCTACGACTCACACTACTATTACTCCGGAATGCCTTCTTATTCACTCCCCCTCTCAAATCCTGCCAAGAAGCCGAGAAGGATCTCTCAATCCCATTTGGTCTGCTATACCGTTCATATTCATCATCTTTGCTCCCACCACCATTTCTCCTGTATATGAAGCCTAATATATTCCACGCCCATCTCCTTGACTTTTTCGAACCCTTCCTCTCCCCATTTCCGATTGCTGGAGCATTATTATCCCTAAAACCTGCCAATTCAGAAGTCTCAGAGCAATCATCCCTCAAGGAGTTGGAATTGGAATCTCTATCAGCAGGCAAAACTTTAGCATTAGAAACAGCCTTCATCTCAGAAATCTCAGCAGCCAAAAAATCTGCTGCCGGCTTCTTGACAGAGCCAGACCTATCAAGACTCTTTCTCCTTCTTGAGGAAGAATCTGCATAGAAATTCCTAGTCTGGGCTGAACCTCCAGGAAGGGTGCCGTCTTCTTCATCGATGCTATTCTTCATGATAGAAAATGGATCCTCAACTGGGATTTGAGCGTCTGTACATGAAACATGGTCTATCACTGGAGGAGCATCATCCTCAACGACAGAGACCATAGGAGCCATCCTAGGGAAGGTCTTTCCAATCATATGCCCATCCCAGGAAGCACGAGGCTCGTCGAAAGAGTATCTGGGGTCATCAAAGCTAATCCTTCCAGCATCGAGTGAGAAACGAGGGTCTGTATCACAAGACCTCCTTCCAAAGCCGTAGTCTGCAATTTCAGATTGGGTTTCCCGGAAATGCCTTGAGAGTTTCTTTTCTGCAGGTAGAGTGGAGGAGCTTCGACCATCGTTAGGCTTCTTAGGCTTCTGTTTTTGCCTCCATTTGTGCCATTTTTTGCTGAAGACCGATGCTGCTGACCAGAAGCTTCCCGCTATTTCCATCATTCCGCCTGAAGGCTTTTTAGCCTGCGAATCGAGATCTATATGATCCTTCATCGGCTTTAATATGTCCTCCTTCAAACCTTTATCCTCAGCAATTTCCGAATTAATCACTCCACACAACCTATTTAGGCTTCTCGGAGATTCTGGATGCTCGGTGATTTCTTCAATTACATCGCTTCCATTTTTGTTTCCATAGACTTCCTCTTCGTCTTCCTCCTCTTTGGACTCGAGGACGGGCCTATTGACAAAATCCCCCGCATTCTCACTGCAGTAAGGGTTTTGGGAGGTGGATGGTCTCGTTTCGTTATCAATGGAGAAAAGACCCCAGAGTGTGTTACGGACTCTTACGTCACAAGACCTGCGCTGGGGCTCAAAGGAAGCCGTAGAGAAGCCCGGCGCCTCATTCTTCGACGCTGAGAACGACTTCGTACGGCGGAGCTCGGGGAAGAATGAGGAGGGTTTGGACGGTTTAGGCGGGGGAGGAGGAAGGGAGGGAGCAGCGGAAGAAGCTGATGGTTTAGAAAAGAGGGATTTGAAAGCAGCTGCAGCAGAGGAGGAGGAGGTGGACGGGCGGCGAGAGGAGGAAGAAGGGTTATTAGTAGAAGCTGAATGATCTAAGGTAGTGAGGCGTTCGCAGAGGCATTCCGGACAGAAACCGGAGAACTGCTCCTCCGGGTGGCGGTCGCAGCTGAAGGAGGAGCGCGGAGGCTGCGCCGGCGGAGGCGGCGGGGGTTGGGGTTGGTCCGCGGCGGTGGGATTCATGCCCGATGGTGTGAAACGCGCAACCTTCCGGTCATGCTACGCCATTGAAGCGTCGAGACTCGAGAGAGAGGAAATGCGAGCGTGTGGAGAGAGAGCTTAGCGCTCAGAAGTTGCAGTCCTTCCAACGGACAAACAGGGAATTGTGATCTCAGAGAGAAGAAAAGAAAAGAAAAAAGAAAAAGAAAAGAGGACAGAATTTGAAGGAAAGGCGAGGAATAAAAACACTATATGGAAGTGGTAAAGCAACAACAATAATAGATAAAACAAATTCTATGATGCTTCATAAAACACACACAAAAAATAATCACAAATAATTCTTCGGATACCAAATAGATTTTGGGGAAGCTGATTTCCTTCTCGATTCGGGTAATCTGTGGAGTCAGCGATATACTATCTGTGATGTTATCCGTTTATGCTCATTCAAAAATGTTAGAAGTACAAATACACTTACAAAAAAACTTATAAACAATCATTGATGTAAAAGTGTTGTAAATGTGATGTGTTAAATAATGAGATGATGTCACATACCCTTTTTGTAAGACTTTTTGTAAAAGTTTTTGTACCTCTAGCATAACTCATGCTCATTTAGGGGTGTAAATGAGCCAATCTGTCCCCCCGTGACTTGCTCGGTAAAAACTCGACTCGAGTTTGGTCATATTCAAACTCGATTCGAGTTCGGCTCGGCTCGAGCATGATAAATATTTTCGAGCTCGAGCCTATGTAAGTTCGAGCTCGGCTCGGCTCGTTTACACCCCTATGCTCATTTAAGTTTTTATGTTTGTGTGGTAATTTTGTTTTTCGATTTATCAGACTTATCAAGTCAAACATATTCCCTTTGTCCCGAAAAGGTTGACCAAAATTGACTTTAACGTAGATTAATAAAGTAAAAACTGTGTGGTTGAAATTTGTGTAGAGGAGAGAGAATTAATTTTAGCCGCATATTCCTTACTTTAAATGGAAATGGCAAATCTTTTTAGTACATCCAACAAAGGACATTTGGTCAAGCTTTTCGGGACGGAGGAAGTATAATGTTTGATTTCGCGCGCTAAAGTGTGTGATATTAAGAAAAAGTAAGTTCAAAGTTACTTTTTCGACTGTATTGGTTGAAGTTATAGTAGATAGTCATTTTAACTATTTTTCATACAATTTTTTCCTTATTGTACTCCGTATTAAATTAAATATATTGAATCGTTCAATATAGTCATTTTAGTCAGAATTTCAAAAATTACAGCAGAATCAGTCGATTTTAGTGTTACCAAACGGGCAAGACCGTCTAATGAATTTGAAGACCCCGATTGTAAATGTAAAATCAAGGCCCCAAAAAAATATCAATGCATATACTTATACTCAAAACAATTGAATACTTATTAAAAAAGATGAATCTATATTTTTCTTCCTTACCTAATGTATTTTACTGATTAGTGTTAATATATAATATTGCTTCATATTATATATTACTAAAAGAACTTTAAAATTTTGGGGCTCAAAAATTCGGGACTCTGTTCTGGATAATCTATTGAATCCCAAAAAACGGCTCTGCAAACGGGCTCTTAAAACGAGTTTATGCTCTTGTTTTTCGTTAAGTTTTATTTATGCTATCAAGTTCAAACTAGAATTACAGTAATTCACATCGTTATTAAAAGCACTTGCGCTATGATGTGAAACATGATCTGGTTAAGATTTTGGGTGAGTTAATAAGTAATAACCAATTATGTCACATTTATGATATTTTGAACTTAATTATAGGGTACAATGAGGCAATGAGCTCTAACTTTAAGGGAGCTCATCTATAGATAATAGATCTCATCATAATAAGTGATTAGTGAGATTATAGTCTACATTCCAATGTAGAGTCTACACTAAAGTGAATATGCATATAAGGATGTTTTTCTTTAGGATGTATGTAAAAGATAGAATGTTTTTAATTGAAGTGATTTAAACTACACTTCAAATCAAATTATACCAAATTAGATCCGACTAGATAATACTACGATAGTTGTAAAATACATATAGAGCAAACATCTATCAATCCAGATTAGATAGACTTAAAAACATCAGATCAAAATAAATAAATAAAATCACAATCTAATTGGAAACATGCTAAATTCTTTAATACTCCGTAACTTTCTAAATCAACGATGATAAAATTTAAACGTTTATGCAGTGATTTTGTTTGATATATTTTGTTAGAACTGATAGTTAATACTTTTATTTAAGAAGGGACATTTTATATCATACTTATATTATAAATAATTTCATATGTAAGATCTAAGTTTAAATTCATTCACTTAAAAATTCAAAATGACAAAGTTTTAAGAAATAGATGAGATGTATTAAAATATTACTTTACCCAATACACTTTCTTAATTTTTTAATAATAAAGTAATTTTGGACACCCGATATCCAAGCACTAGACCCTCCAATAACACTCCACATTATACATTCAAATTAATCAATAAGTATTCTTGAACATAATTGAGAATCTTTCAAATTAAAAAAATATAAATATAGAATCATGTCACTATTTACCGTAATTAATATTCTGTAATACTTCCTTCGTTTCTTTTAAGTTGCAATGGTCCAATTCTCACATTTGTTAACACGCAAATTTGACTATTAATGTGTTTTATTCATATTAGTAAAACTGTTAAATCATTTCAGATTTTATAAAGTTAAAATGAGAGGAATCAAATGATATTATTCAAAAATTTAACTTATAAAAAGTTAATAAATAAAATATAATCAAACTAGAGAATGTGACTAGTGTAAAACTCACCGATGGTGCAACAAAAAAGAATGTAGGTAATATTAAATACTTATAACAATATGAATTGATACATTTTGTCTTAATCAATGAATATCACCTCAATAAATAGCGTGACTCTAATAAGTGATGAACATCGCCGAAGTAAATAACGTAACTCTAATTATTTAACAAATCTTGAAAGTCATAAATTTTTCTATCTTAAATGTAATAAATTTATGTACTTGTAGACGAAGTATGATGAAGAACTGCAGAAGAAACGGGCCGAGCTAAGTGACTTAGATGTCGAAATTGATGAGATTCAAGATGATGAGGCATACATGGCGGATGCTGGGGTTTACAAAGGTCGGGTTCCGTGTATGGGAGCCAACGCTCTACGGATCTTGAAAAACTCTGAAAGAGCCAGCTCATCTTCTCAACTGGCAGGTTAGGTATGAAGAATGGGTTGTCCGCCTTGAGAGAATTGCAGGAATTCCAAGAACAGCGTGAAGCGGACCGGGCGTCGATGCGGGTCCAAATGGATGAATTCTTTGCCACATGACGCCCCCCACACATCAAATGCAACCTCAGATGTCGCCTCAAGTGCCATTCATGGGAAGTATGGGTTTCAACTCTAGCCCGGATTTCAAATGTCTGGAATGCATTCGTCTTTTTAGTATGGATATCAATACCAACCATTTCAGACACTCGGAGGTCATTACAGCCGATGTGGCAGTTGAAGCGGCAGAGGCAGTCGTAATGGCAGGCGATAACGCGAAGGTCAACCCGAGTCAACCCCTAGCGCCGATTTTGATATCAATGATTATTTCAACAATGAAGACCCCCGATATGTAATAGATAGGAGTAGTATTTAAAATTTGAATTTTTATGAATTGTTGTAATTGTAAGTTTTTTCCTTTTTCTTTATTTAATATTTAGTTTGTCACAGATGGGGGCCGTGACAAACTTGAATTTTTGTAATTCAACTATCCTTGAATTGTTGTAATTGTAAGTTTTTTCATTTTTTATTTAATATTTATGTTTGTCACGGAATAAATGCGTGACAAAATATACACGGAATGTTTATCACAAATTTATTCCGTGACAAAATTGGTAATTTTAAATTTTAAATTTTAAGTGTTGTCACGGACGTGATCCGTGACAAATATGGACGAAGAGACTTCTCTGGTGAAGGTTTTCTCACGGACGACATCCGTGACAAATCCGTGACAAAGCGTTGTCACGGATCCATTTCCGTGACAAACTTTTGTCAAGCCCAAACGCTCAAGCAAAAAAATCCGTGACAAATTTCGTGACAAAGTTGTTTGTCACGAATTTTTTTAACTACGGTTCGTGACAAAATCTATGACAAACAACCTTTTTTTTGCAGTGTAGACTAGTACCACAATCTAACTACTCATGCTACTCAAAATGGATCCGATGTGACCAACCACTGAAAAGGATCTATTGAATTACACGGTTTTACCTGCCACAATTAAGGAGTCAAGTGTAGAATTTGTGCCAGTTTGATTTGACCAGCCACCAGAAAGAAAGCAATCTCTGCAATCCCATCTCCCTGGATCGATAGTGGTTTAAGAGAGGGGCGATCAGCCTCAATATTGATGCAGAAGAAATTTAGATTCGTGATAGATGAGGAAGCGTTAGAAATCTATTACTAGCACACAAGAACACCCGACTTATGATGGCTAGGAATATACATCTTACACACGATAATTCGCCACAGAAAATAACATCTCTAGACACCTTTAGAAAATAAATGTATAGATAGACCTGAAAATAGTGATTATTTGAAGCTTTTTCTATAATTGAAGCCCAAAGAATTCAAGGAAGAGAAGAAAAGAAGAAGAGGTGGCGGCTAGGGTTTACCCCTCTATACAGCATTACAGCCTATTGCTAAATACTATCCTCCGTATCACAATAATTGCCTCATTGGAATATATACACTATTTATGTACTTTACTTTGACTACATTTTATTTATTAATGTATGTGAATTATTTTTTTTGAAAAATATTGTTAAATTCGTCTCATTACTAAGTTTTATAATCTGATTTTTATTTTATATTTACTAATACAAAATTAAATATAATGACGGTCAAAGTTATGCGTTGACAAACATGAAATGTTGACTGTTGCAACTAAAAAGAGACGGGGGAAATAATATTTTTGTATAGAACCCATAGAGTTCAACAATGCTAGAACTTGCAATGAATTTAATGCTTTCACAAGTGGAAATCTAATAAACAAAAATCAAACATTCTTGTTGTACTCACCCTTATACCCACCCTATCTGTGAAGGTTTTTGTTTGTAAATCCAATTCAAAGACAAAATATGTCTTATTTTGCACAAACATGGTGAATATAAATGTGGATACATGGACTCGGTACAAATACATTTTTGAACTAAAGTAGATTCCATCAAACTCTAATAATTGGGGAAAATAGTTTTTACGCATTTAA